TAATAAGGCCCCAAGTGCATGAGATAAACATATTGAACAAATGATAACTTTCTTGCCATCTTTGTTGGTAACAAATATGGGTTCAACTTAAACCACGACAACCCAAATAGCTTCAAAATTATAAATTAAATTTTTCTCTAGTATATACAAATAACAAAATTAAGGACAATAAAATGCATCTACCGTGGCAACAATCAATTATGGCAACCAATAATGCATGTGAACCTAAGGATTCCGATTGGAATATACCTGGATATTGCTTTGACCTTTACTTTCATTTGAATAAGATGAATTTGCACCAAGCTCTCCAGCAACATGTATATAGTCATTCTCTTTCAGATGGCAAGCAGCAACATGAGCCAAATCACCCTCAAATTTTACTGGAATCCTTATATAATAAGAGGAGATGGGCATGAAATCAATAGTAGATAGAACTAAAAACATCCTAAGGACCATATTTCAACATTTCCATGACCAAATAGACGTAGTGAGTACCCAAAAAAAAAAAAAAACAATCAAAGCAATTTTCATATAAAAGAAAATAGACTTAGACGTCAGTTATATTACTTGCAATAAGAGATATAACATCATGTATCTCCTAATATACGAACAATGTAATTGATGTCGGCCTTTGGACAACTCAACTAATCTTCTGGCACAATGAAACATTTGAGTTTCATATAAATGAATGTCCAATATCAAGTTGGTTTAAGAGCACGAATCTGACAATCCCAAAAAATATAAAAGCTTATCAAATGAAGAACAACAAGGAAACACACATTAGCACATGCCCTTTCTCTAAATCATTTTCCTATTAATCAACTTTAGTTAGCTATTAAAAACCAAGAAATACCCTCACTCTTATGAAATTTGGAATTTATTTCATCCGGTATAATCTACCACATCTATCCATTTTTTCATAGCTCCCAATTGTGCAAATAATTCAATAGAACACTGCATCACCTGAAGCCACCTGTCAATAAAAATACATGACTTATGCACCAGTAGTATTTTCAACAACGTGTGGCATATACATTTGCTGAGTTAATAATGGGATTCACAACATGAGAGATAGTGGTTCAACTAACAATATGGACAATATGCCTTGAAATATTAAAAAAAGTACCATAAAAACCACACAAAAATTAACAACAGAAAAATCATATGCAACTCAGTAAGAGCATGAAAGCAAAAGTTGCATACCAAAGATGGGAAGAATCAGGAGTGAGCTCCCGGATAAGAACGGTGGTAGCCCAAGTTTTGCCATCGGGAGAAGTTTGAAACTGAACGGGCATATGAACTTGACCAATGATATTGACGAAATTGGCAGCCTTCGGCTGATACGGAATCACGGGGGGCCTCTGTCTGTCAGAAACGGCGTCGTCTTTTGAAGGTGGCGAAGGTTCGTCGACGCGTTTAGATCTCCGACGGGTAGTGGCGGCAGTGGCATAGGACTGACGAATGAAGGTTGAGGGATGTGAAACAAGGTGCCCCGTTGCAATGGCCGAAGAAGCAAACACTCGTACTGCTCGGCGCAGTGCATACATTTCGAAGTTACAGAGAGCTTCGAAGAACAAGACAGCGATGAGGTTTTAGCAAAACCCTCAAACTTGGAACTATCCACGTCCACCGCCCTTCTCAAGGTCAAAGATCATAGCATGCCTTCCTCGGTTTCTCCAACTCCGAATGCGATCAGGACTTGGAATGCCCTCGCTTTACTATACCACTATTGTTGTTGTTATTGTTACTAGCGCTATTAATCTTGCTCTGACAATGGGCTAATACAACCAACAAGTGTTCACTGAGAGATGTGTTTGAGTAGAAACAAAATCGTAGTTTTAAAAGTGTTTTTACAGTATACGAAATAAATATGTAGAAAAGTTTATTTCGATTTGCAGAAAAGTGCTTTTGAGAAGTGTTTTTGGAGTTATCCAAGCACCCCTAAGTAAAAAAGACTTTTGGTATCTTAAATATTATGTCTTGGGTTCGATCCTGAGAGTGTTGTATATGAAAAAAATATTGTTGGGAAAGGTCATTGCGACGGCGCCTGACGGCTAACAGTAACTGGAGAGATTAGTCTCTTACTGTTCAGGTAAAAGGATACTCTGGACAAACAAAAAAAAAACAACGGGTTTATACAGTTCGCCCCTAAAAATTTAGATCCATTTTAATTTTTATTCCAAGAGTATTACTTATTCACCTAAAAAGTAGCAATTTAAAAATTTTCAAAGATTTCATTTATTTCTTAAATATTTAAATTTGTAAAAAAATTTTAAAAAAAAAGTGATGGGACGGAGTTGAGCACTCATCTAGGGTGGGAGCAAAAATAAAGTTATCAGTATTCAAGGAGTAAAATAGTTTAAGTTTTTGTTGAGTATTACGAACTAATGTTTTAAATTAAAAAAAATTTAAAGGATCAAAACCTATAATTTAAAATTTAAAAAAAAATCAAAATAAAGAAAAATTTTAAAAATTAAAAATTGTTTTGACCTTTTTTTTTAATACAAAGGAAGGAAAATAAAACTAAAACTAAACTCCAAGGCCTACGACTATGAGGCGGTTGATAGCAACAGGACCCAGAAGTTAAAGGCCATAAGGATTCGCCAGGGCTCTTTTTGCTAAGGAGTTTGCCACCTAGTTATCGTCCCTAGCTAAATATTGAAGTCTCACTTGCCAGTCCGTTGCAGCATCTCCTTGGCTTCCATAATCAGGTTGAAGTCCTCGTGTAGGTCAGGGGGTTCCGATTGCAGAGGCTTCAATGCTTCCTGGGAATCTGAGCGTAACAGCACCTTCCTGTGACCTCAGTCCCAGGCTCTCTTTAAACCCATGAGGTAGCCCCAAAGTTCAACTGATAAAGCATCTCCGGAGGTAAGCCGAAACTGAAACCCTTCCAAGACCGAACCATTCTTATCCTTGAGAACTCTCCCACAAGCAGCATTGTAGTTACTAAGAGAGAAGGCTCTGTCGACATCAACGGATACTTCAACAGGCTCCACCAACAGGTCCGCATCAACACTGTGCACCCTGTTGTTTGTGAGATTGGTTTTGTGGAGTATGTTGTTAGCTCGGTTCATGGTGCTAAGGATCGCCATGGCTCTCGAGTAGGTGCTCATTATGTTTGGGCAGGAGTTGTTGTGTACCCGATCATTCTTGTCCCGCCAAACAAGCCAACAGATAATGATGAAAGCGCTCTTCCAATCACAGTCCTTATTGCCACATTTCCTTTCTAGGTTCATGTCTAACTAGTCCAAACCAGTAGAGGAGAAAAACTAATTTTGTACTGTTGGGTGGATGAGGGGCTCCCACATGCTACAAACATCGTGATAGTCCCGTAGAGTGTGGACCCCATCTTCCTTGCTCATCTTGCACCGATCACACATACTAGTGGGATGAAGACCCCTCCGTTGTTTCATGCTATTCATGACGAGTCGGTCATGAAGGAATAACCAGGCAAAAGTTTTACAATGTTGAGGAATCTTTAGCTTCCAAATGGTTGACCAAGCTCCTAGCGACACATCAATGTTAGGATTAAGAGAGCAGTCAGCTGAACAAACCGAGAAGGAGCCACTTTTCTCCCATTTCCAACATGGGCGAACAATCCCCTTTGAGTCAAACACTTGTTCAATCCCATTTTCGACTTTACTCCAATTTTGTTTGATGCCGTTCCAACTATTTGAGCCAGCTCTCTGAGGGTTAATGCGAGGAAGTAATTCGTTGTCATACCCATATTTAGCTCTTATCACACGGACCCAAAGTGACTCCTGATCATTGACTAGCCCCCATCTAAGCTTCATCATGAAGGCGCGATTATGTTGTTTGATACACCTCATACCAAGGCCTCCAGATTTCTTGTCAGTGCAGACCTTATCCCAAGCGATCAAGTGCATTCTACGTTTTTCATTTGAAGAGCCCCATAAGAAGTCACGAGCTTTCTTTTCAATGTTATCACAGGTGGGTGCAAGTAGATTAGTTGTTTACAGAGCATAAGTTGGCATAGCAGCAATAACAGATTTGGTAAGTGTATCTCTGCCCGCAAAGGAGATACGGGAAATCTGCCAATTGCTCAATCTGTCACGAACTTTGTCCACTACGAATGGGAACATTCTTTTGGAGACCTTATTGTGGTGAAGAGGAACTCCTAAATATTTGCTGAGGTCAGCAGTGTCGGTGAAGTCTAAAACCTCACTCAACTCATTGGTTCTATTGTGATTTACGTTCCTAGAGAAGAAAACTTTAGTCTTGTCAACATTGACCTTTTGTCCGACGCTTCACAAAACCTCTGTAAACAACTTTTGATAACATGGACCTGGTCCATAGTTGCCTCTGCAAAAAGTAATAAATTGTCAGCAAAAAATAAATGGGAAATAGGAGGGCCATCCTTACCTAATCTTATAGGTCTCCAACTACTCGAATTCACCTCTCTCTGGATTAAGAGGGCAAGTTTCTCCATGCAAGTTACAAAAAGGTAGGGGAGATTGGGTCTCCTTGTCATAGGCCTCTAGAGGGAGTGAACTCTTTTGCTTTACTTCCCTCATAAAGAATTTGCATAGAAGCAGAGGTAATGCAGGCTTTGATAACAATGTTAACGTTGCTTAGTATCTATAGCTCGTCAAGGCACTTAAGAACAAAATCCCATCTAACCCGGTCATAGGCCTTTTTGAGGTCTATTTTGATTGCCATAAATCCTTTCTTCTTTCGCATATTCTTCATGGAATGGATAATTACCTGTGCAACAATTATATTGTCAGAGCTGGTCCGGCTCAGGACAAAGCTACACTGGTTAAGAGAGATGACCTATGGCAGGTAGAATTTAATGCGGTTAGAGATCACTTTCGTAATAATTTTATAAATGACATTACAAAGGCTAATAGGCCTAAAGTCACGAAGAGTTTCCAGATACTCCCTTTTCGGAATAAGAACAATGAAGGTTTTGTTGAGTCTTTGGATGGTGCTTGGGTCTTCAAAGGCAGCATTAATGACTTTGATCACTGAGGGGCCAATCATCTTCCATTGGTGTTGAAAGAAGAGAGCGTTAAACCATCAGGACCAGGGGATTTAAGTGCTCCCATACTGAAGATTGCTCCTCTAATTTCCTCCTCGGAGACTCTACGTTGAAGATCTTCCTTGTAAGACTTGTCTAAGGGAGCGAAGGTACAATCAATTTGCGGGTAAGCTCCATCTATGTCCTCGTTGCTAAACAGGTTGGTGAAGAAGTTAGTGGCCATGTACTTAATTCGAGAGACATCATTAGTCCAAATACCAGCTTCATCTTTAATAGCTTCAATCTTGTTTCTGCATCGTCTCCCATTTGCTTTTGCGTGAAAAAACTTTGTATTCCTATCTCCCATAGCAAACCACTTGCATTTTGCTTTCTGGGCCCACATCAAGTCTTCTTTAATGAGGATGTCTTCTAACTCCATCCAAAGATATCTTTGAAGTTTTTCAATAGAGGAAGAATAATCGGTGGAGCCATAGTTTTTAATGATGCCATCTAAGAGGTTGAGAATGCGATTTTTCTGTCTTCCTAGATGACCAAACACGTTGAAACTCCAATTATTCACCTACGAAGTAAAAAAGCTAACATTCTCTTCCCAGCAAAGATGTTTTTTCCAAGTATCATTGACCATTGTGTCAAAGTCATCATGAAGAAACCAAGCAGCATTCATGCGAAACAGCCTCTCTTGTTTACGTCGCGTGGTAACAGAAGTGGGAGTAAGAAGAACTAGCTGGTAGTTAGACTTGAACCAAGGTAAGTTCTTCATAATGGCTTCGGGGAAGGACTCCTTGAACTTGTCACTGGCTACCACTCTGTCGATACGGCTTTCACAACCCTCTCTATGCCAAGTAAAGAAGGGACCACAACGGCCTAAGTCAGTAAGCTCCAAGTCATCATACCACTTGATAAACTCCTTGTCAATAGTGTAAGGGTTAAGAGCAGAGAGCATCATTCATGGTGGAATAAGGTTGCATTAAAATTGCCTCCAATAACCCAAGGGCAATCCGAAGGTATATTAAGTTCCTGAAGGTCAAACCAAAGCTTCCTTTGACAGAACATGTTGTTACTAGCATAAACAGCCGTGATGAACATCTCCTAGCCACCTTTCTCAGCGCACACGTGAATAAACTGAGTTGATTTGATTTCCACAGAGATATTGAATCCCACATCATTCCAAGCAACCCATATTCCTCCTCGAGAACCCATTGCATCAACAAAGTCGAAATTGTTGAAGCCCAACTTTTTGCATCGAAAGATAGCTTGAGTGCCACTACATTTAGTTTCAAACAGAGCAAGAAAATCAACCGAGCACTTTTTCCTAATTTCCTTGATGAGCCCAGGGAGAGATTTAGAGCCCAAGCCTTTGCAGTTCCAGAAAAGACAAATCATGAGGAAGCTTCGACTGGGGAGATAGTGCTTATAGGTCCCCTAGGAGTTAATTGCAATGTTTGAAGGTATAAATCAGTAGATTGTTGTCCAGCCAAGTCTGCGGTGGTATTATAGAGGTGTGAAGTATGTTCAAGCCCACTAGAATTATGAAGGGCCATAGCAGGGTGGGATGTAAGATTATTATTTGTGTAACCAGAGGTATTCGGTTCCTCTTCTTCCATCTAGATTTCCTCTGAAATGTTAGACAGCACTTTGAATGGATCAGGAGAGTTGAGAAAGTGTCCCTTGCAGTTTTTAAGCAACCCAAATCCTAGCCCAGCATTGGGTGAAGCAGTCACTGAGGCCTACTCTTTCCCTTTTGACATCTGTTCTCTCTTCTTGCTTATGTGTTGACCCACCGGGGTCCATTTCTTTTGAAAATTTAATTTTTTTCCCGTTGATCTAGCACCTGCTTGAGAGTGAGCTAAAGGGTTCAGGTCCTTGTCCATAAATCTCGGAGGAGCCATACTCTGAAGATCGTTAGCCCTTGATTCTCTCTATTCATTGATTTCAACATCCTTATTACGTGATTTCCTCTCAGGCCCATTACTCCACGTAAATCTTCCCTCATCTGGCTTTCTAGATCTGGTTTTTGTGGAGTTTCATGGATTGTGCCTTCATTGTCGTTGGACAAGGTTCTAGATTCCAAAACCCTCCTGCTGCGGTGGAGTGCCGTCAAGCTTTAACGGAGTAACTTGCATGGCTTCCTGTGTTCGTTTTTCCCCGTGAGGCTTTGTTCGCTACTTTTCATTGTTGTTATTAGTCCCTGGCGTGGCATCGCTTCATTGACCATTGGTTCGTAACCTTGCTTTTTCTTTGACTCATAGGCTTTGACCTATTTATTTTGTGTGTTTTGGAGGTTTAGAAGTGTTATAGAGACTAGATTTTCACATGATTTAAAGGGGAGTTGAGGTTGCAAAGCACTTGATCAAACCAAGGTAAAGTGGCTTCATAGGGTTGGAGACATGAGCATGGGTCAAATGGCTAGTTTAGGTGGCTTTTTGCCAACTGGCCTGCAGGTGAGAATTTTTGGCTAGCATTGCCAAGCATGCAACATGGGGTATTACTCGCATTCATTTATTTAATTTTTTAGTTTTATTAGTTATTATAGTTATACTATTTCATGTCATATATCATCTGAAAAATATTTTAAAAATGGCGATACCATTTACTTGGTGTTTTCAATCAAAAACTTATTTAAAAAAATAATAATGATTTATTGATTTTTTTAGTATGCAGAAATTTTTCTCATTGTTATAACAAATCCTCAAAAAAAAAAAGGAGTCTACATCGAATCAAATATATACTTCTGCTTTCTTATATTAAAACTTTTAGCGCCTAAACACAAAAATACTATACAAGTGTTTTTTTTTAAAAGATTAAGTTCTGAATTATTGCAAGAATTCTTTGCAAGGTGAAAAGATATTTTCTCTTGATGTTGTCAATAGCTTCTTCTACTCCATAAAAGTTATATAGAGGTCGGATTTGGTATTTAGATATTATTTTATTTTCATCAATGACCCGGTCAATTGTGAATAAAGGTTATTAAAGCCCAAAATATCATTTAATTCTTAAATTAATGTGGGATAAAATTTATAAAAATTTAGCTCTATCACGTGCTTAGTATAATTTGGTCTTTGATTGTGTCACAAGCATGATTCATTTGTCTTGATCTAAGTATATTTGATGAGGATGTCTCAGCAACTTGATCATCATTGTCTTCCTCAATTATACTTTCAAATTGAGCTTGTATAAAATCTCTATATGTTTCAGAATTTCTTCAGAGAAAATTATGTATAGCCATTGTTGCACAAACTATTTTTGGACTTGAGTTTTATACTTGTATTTGGACATCTTGTCTAATATTCAAAACTTATTCTTCCACACCCGAAAAGTCTTTTCTATAGTGCACCTCAAATTTGAATGATAATAATTGAAGGCTTTGTTATAATTTCTAAACCTCGGTTGTTGCCTGAAGTCTGGAAGGTAATAGCACTCACATCTATACAAACCAAGATATCCTACTGTGTTGGATAGCCAATGTTGACTAAATAATACTTCCCTAATAAATCATGAAATTATCTTGATAGTGTGAAACTAATGCAAATATAAAACGAATTCAAAGTAATTAAAATTGAAGATAATGAAAATATACCTTGAGGTAGATGAGGGAAATCCAAGGATGAAGTTGAGATATCAATGTTAAACACATAAGCATCATGTGCAGTACCTTCCCATCCTGCCAACATAAAAGTAAAGCACATATCCTAATCATATATAGCCATGACATTCTATATTGAATATCCCTTTCTCTTGATATATTTGTCTTGCTTAGAAAGACTCACCACACCCCGTATGTGAGTACTATCAATTGCTCCCATTGTATCCTTGAAATATGACCAATATAATTTATCTTTTTTTTTTTATTTTTGGATGAGTTACGGAAAACATAGGATCGAGTGGTTTGATATATTCCCTAGATAGACTAAGACAAGCCTATAATGCTTTATGAAAATGCCTATTTACAGTTTTTTCTGAATGTTGAAACCTTTCTTGTATCATCCTATTACATTGTCTATGACCAACTGTGTTCAAGAACATAGCAATAATTTCTTCCACTCCCAAGTACTTAGAATTTTGTAAACCATGTTTAACCAATTTAAAGCATAATTGCATGAACATTTCTTTTTCTATTCGAAACATGTTATAACACCGTACTTCATACTCTTGCAAAATTTCATGCACCCATAAAGGACCTGTTTGTTGACTAGTTCTACGTGGCTCTTAGCACACATAAGGCATCACATATTGACTTATCAATACAACTATCTGTTCATATTGTGTTATCTCTTTATCTAAAAGGGAAATCAATTGAGATTGTTCATCTTCCTCTGTCCCCTCTTGAGACTGTTTGTCTACCTCCGTCTACTAGGACATAAATTTATTGTTCCAATTTGCCATAGATAATGTAACCTGTGATGTGGTTAAATTCAACTGTAAGCATTTTTAAGTGACAAATAAATATTTTTTAAGTAAGAAATAACTAATTTTTTGTTGTTAGACATGCGAACACATAAAATCAGTCTAAAAACATATATTATAAGTTGCAATTACCACTATAAACAACACATATAATCAGTCAACAGGTTGCATACTTTCATAATTTTGCTTACATTAACTTAGAAACATGCAATAAAGACTATGGTCTGAGTTCGACAAAATAAAGTCATAATAGGTGTCCTAAAATATAGTTCAAGCAAGGGGAGTTTCAACTATGATGGTAGGTTGTATGTCATATCCTGTAGCCATTCTACCAAGTATTCCCACTGTCCTTTTAGTGCAACAACCATTTCCTGAATACTCTTGTGCATTATAAGTCTCAAACACCAGGTTCAAAGGTTATAGTTACTTGTCATTTCCTTAAAGCAAAGCAGTTCGGTCATAACCTCAGAAATTGATAACTCCTTTATTTTGTTTAGTGTCGTCGCTCTATCCTTAGATGCGGTAGCTATTGCATTAACTGAATCCACAATTTGTCTTGAGGCTGGAATTTTTTGCCTTTTCTACCTACTAGACCATTCACCTCTCTTCTTTTTTCCATGGCTTCCTAAACCACTAGGTACAGTGTTTGCTATTAAGTTAAAGCCTGCCATCTCATCCATAACTCCTACACTACCACTGCTAAGATCTTCTTCGCTATCCCTTGATCCTTCAAGTAGATCCATTTTGACTCTGTACACATTCTCTTGGTCGTCCTCTTGTGTCTAAGGCTGGGTTAAAGATGGTGCCAACATATCCTCTCCAGATGCCATCACACCGTTGAATATCGTGGTTAATTCATGAGCAAACTTCAACCCATTGTACCTAAACTTTTCATTCTAGGGATTCTCTTGCAAGTATACAATAAACAAAGATGAAAGCCTATAACAAATGATAATACAGCTTATATACTTCTTTTTGTTCTCCTACCACTCATTTGTTGCCACAACTGTATTCGTTGTAGGGTCCCAACCTACACTAGTCTCTTTGGTTAAATTATCCCATGTCTTCCAATCTTTCTTCAAGCTATCTAGCCTATTTTTCAATTGCTTCTTCTCATATATTGAATGCAAAGTGAGTGTTGTTCCACCCTATCTTTATAAATGATGTTCCTTAATGTTGTTTTCGGTAGATTTGCTTCATGCATTCTTTAAGGAACATTTCCATGGAGCTTGCATCCTACTTTACCTTACCTTTTTCTTTGTTCATAATTCTATGGGAAAATGTCAAAAAAACAATACTACCATTTGTTGATATCTAATCAAAGAGGCCGAGTTATATTAGTAAAAGCAAAGTTATACCATGTGTTGATATATAATCAAAGGGGCTGAGTTATATTCAATTTAGATATTAAGTTCTTACATCAAAACATTAAAAGCAAAGTTATAGAAATAAGTGCATGAACCATCTCTATAACAGAAAATGAGTTGGAAAAAAGACAGAGAATTTATGTAATAACAAAATTGCATTCAGAGTAGCAAGGGA